GAAAGTCTAAATTTACACATGGCTCTTATCAAATCCTTATTTTCTAATGATGTTGAATACTTCTCTGGTTCTATAGCTGACTTAATCGAATTATAATGACATAAAAAGGATGAAGATGAAATACTATTGTGCCAGGTTTGATAATACATGTACATATCTTGTAATCTTTGTTTTAATGAAAATAGAAATAACTCTTCATCACCAAAGTCTTGCGCAATCCAAACAAAAGAATACCCACAAGTAAACAGCAAAGATCTAATATTTGAAACCCAATTACAACTGGTCTTACCATTATCATCAAGAGTTTTTAATAAATTATAGCATTGATAAGGATATCGTTGTCGTTCCATCTTTAGTAATTTACACCAATATTTAACCACTCTAACTTGGCTGAGAATAAAAAGAGGATAACGCCCTGTATCGCCTAAAATGGCCTTATTTGAAGCAAACTTCCCAACCCGTAAAAAGCATTTAAAATAAGATGATTGGACTTTCTCTATTGCCTCATTATATTTTGTGCCCCATATCTCTGCCACATATAACAAAATCGGCGCAATTTTACCCTCAAAAATAGAACATGCTGTGGAAAACGGAACATTTACAAGTTTTTTGGAAAATGTATAAACTGGAATGACAGCTTTAGAGGCTTGACATGCTAATTGTTTACAAGATACTGACCATGATAATCTAGAAGATATAACTAATCCTAAATACTAATAATATGTCTTAATTTCTAAAGGAACTTTGTCATATGCCCAGTGTTCATGCTTAGCAATTTTACCTCCATTTCTGAATACAATGACATTTGTTTTTTGTAAGTTGACTTCTAAACCCCATTTCTTACAAAAGGAAGACAGTACATTTAATTGTTTCTGCAGGCCATTAACAGTATATGAAAACATGACAACATCATCAGCAAAAAGAAGTAACATTAAATCAACAATATCCTGTGTCACAAATACACCATAACTAAACTCTTTATATACTTCGGTTACAAGTTCATTATTGAAGAAGACAAATAAAGCTGGGCTTAAAATGCAACCCTGTCTCACACCACTAGAAGTGGAAAACTCTTCTGTTCTACCAGATGAAGTTTTAATACAACTGACTGACTGAGTTTGGTTTTACGCCGCTTTTAGCAATATTCCAGCAACATCACGGCGGGGGACACCAGAAATAGGCTTCACATATTGTGTTTTAATACAAGCCTTTACAGAGGAGTACATATTGCGAATGACGTTAAACAGGTTTCCATGACAACATTTAGTAAGCAGTACATATAACAATTTCTTTCTATCAACGTAATCAAAAGCTTTTTTAAAATCGATAAAAGCACAATAGAATCTACCTTTCGGCTTACATAAATATTTTGAACACAATGCTTGCAATATGAATAGATTATCAACTGTTGAGTAATTTTGGCGGAAACCGGCTTGACATTCTGATAAAAGATCATTTATATCTAACCAAATTCTAAGGCGCTTTTCTTTGACAATAGTGAACAATTTACCTGTGACATTCAGAATAGAAATACCTCTATAATTGTTGGGGTCGGAACGTTTACCCGACTTAAACAAAGGCAAAATCATACCTATATTCCATGATTCTGGAAAATCGCCAGTAATTAAGACTCTATTAAAAAGAAGTTTCAAATAAGGTACAATAATAAGGTATGGACACCATACAAGATACACACAGAAACCACACACGATACACACGGACACCACGCAACCGGATATACACGAACACCAAACAAGACACACAGAAGCCACACAACCAGCCAAACACGGACCCCAAACAAGACACACAGAAACCACACAACCAGCCAAACACGGACCCCAAATAAGACACACAGAAACCACACAACCAGCCAAACACGGACCCCAAATAAGACACACAGAAACCACACAACCAGCCAAACACGGACCCCAAACAAGACACACAGAAACCACACAACCAGCCAAACACGGACCCCAAACAAGACACACAGAAACCACACACAACCAGCCAAACACGGACCCCAAATAAGACACACAGAAACCACACAACCAGCCAAACACGGACCCCAAATAAGACACACAGACTAAACCACAAAACCAGCCAAACACGGACCCCAAATAAGACACACAGAAACCACACAACCAGCCAAACACGGACCCCAAACAAGACACACAGAAACCACACAACCAGCCAAACACGGACCCCAAATAAGACACACAGAAACCACACAACCAGCCAAACACGGACCCCAAACAAGACACACAGAAACCACACAACCAGCCAAACACGGACCCCAAATAAGACACACAGAAACCACACAACCAGCCAAACACGGACCCCAAACAAGACACACAGAAAACACAACCAGCCACACAATCCCAGACACCAAACCACGGACCCCAAACAACAACACACAGAAACCACACAACCAGCCAAACACGGACCCCAAATAAGACACACACGGACACCACACAAGACACACACGGAAACCACACAGACACCACACAACCAGCCAAACACGGACACCATTGACACCACGGACATCACACAACCAGCCAAACACGGCACAAACACGGACCCCAAAAAGACACACACGGACCCCAAACTAGACACACGGACACCAAACAAGACACACGGACACCACACAACCAGCCAAACACGGACACCACACAAGACACACACGGACATCACACAACCGGCCACAAATGGACGCCACACAACCAACCACACCCTGGCACCATAGTACTACACAAATCTTTCACATAATATATTTGCATATATATGGTGGAAACTTTCAATTGCTTCAACATATCACTCTAGACTATCTGGCAAGTGACGAGACGCCTGATTATATACTTCGATCATTACTGAGTTATTTGTTTAAATGTGAGCCCCAGATATCGCAGAACATGTGTGTATCCCGATGTAGATGGCAAATGTGAACTCACAACACACGCAACAAGGTAAGATTAAGGACACCACATATACCATTTAGGAACACTTTAGTTATGTAAATGAATTTGTAAAGACAACCACCGTACGATTATGTTTTGCCATCATTTACACTTTCGTGTCGTAAACCCTGTAGTACTGGGCCCCGTTTCTCAAAGCGATCGTAACGTGATCGTAACTCCCATTGTTTAACATAGACTTACGACAGTCGTAGTGCTAAGGTGATCGTAACTCCCATTGTTTAACATAGACTTACGACAGTCGTACAGTCGTAACTCCCATTGTTTAACACAGACTTACGACAGTCGTAAGCGCTACGATCGCCTTGTGAAACGGACCCCTGATCCCGTCACTGAAGCCTGGCGGACAGTTTGAAATGACCCATTCCAATAGAAAACAAGGCCATATGGGCACTGGCTGTTCTGCCTAGCCTTGTAGTGGTTAGACTTTTGACAACATCTATTACAAGGGTCGGGATTGGTCATCCCGTTGACTTAAAACGTAATCTTCCTTCATAAGGATTGAGTGTGATGTCAAACCAACGAGGCACCAAAAACAATTATTTATTGCTTAATGGTTTCTAAACTCATCAATAGATGACCAGTTGGTCACTGAAACATGACATCATGGATGGGTTCAGTTTGGTTCTTCAGTATTTCAGACAAATCATGGCGTGTGAACTACGCTGTGAGGAAACCCCAGACTAACTCTTATAGTCTCTGAATATATAATTTGGATTGTAACAAACACACCCATTTAAATTAAAAAGGAGCCCCAGGGAGACCTGAGGAAATCTATCTAGACTTGATTCATTTAGGGCTTTAGCATTGCAGGGAGGGCAAGGCTCTAGGGAAAATAATAGGTTTCAGGGACTCTGAGACATACTAAGGAAATTCGGGCGTTATCGGGACCTTGATATCTTTCAGTTCTCGGGACTCCTGCGTTCGTTATAATGTTTACAAACCAAGAAATATAATGAGGACGAATCTGGTATTGAGTGAGAGAGTGAGTGTAGTTTTACGCCGCTTTTAGCAATATTTCAGCAATATCAGCAGAGGACACTTCAAATGGGCTCCATTGTACCAACCTGGGGAATCGATCCCGGGTCTTCAGCGTGACGAGCGAACGCTTCAACCACTAGGCTACTCCACCGGCCGCGAATCCGGTATTGGACCACAGGAACAGAGGTTTCTGGCATATCTAGGGGACGCGACTCTGTACTGCGCATTTCCGCGCCTCAGACAAGTATGTCACCTCTCCAGCATCAGCTCCAGCCCCGTGTGGAGGGGTCACGATCGATTAAACTCACATGATCATAACATAAGGAATAAAAACCATCATATCACGTCACATATTAATTAAGCAACGTTATACACCATGTTAGGATGTAATAGAACACTGCAAGAACTGATTTTACATCTGATATCCATGTGAAAACCTCTGGTTTTGAGGTCGATATATCGTATTTGAGAAAGAAAGCCATGTTCTTACTAATTACGTAATACTATCCATTCAGCCAGCGAGTATTTAAAGATTCTAGTCATGTTGATTTGTCTGGTGCATTTATCGACAAGAGATTGCCCAACGATACCTGTTCATATAGACATGAAATAGTTGTGTTGCAACTCCATATCTGTTCTGTGCTCCAGTTATAGTATATAACCCTCCTATGTATATCATGAAGAGAATGACAGATAGGATTTTAACTGTAGTGTACCAGCAACCCATTAACCCATATTCGATGCTCACATGTGTTCAGTCCCTGGATCAAGTCGACTCCCTCATTAAAAAGTCATGATGGTATTTTCAACCTTTGAAAATGTAAGTGTCATATTACACTTAGCATTAGCACTATCGTATTAATTGGCATCCAGGTCGTAAGTCCATACAAACATTTCCCCTACTCCTCTCTAAATATAGAAATAAATGTTTTCTTCCTCTCACTCATACAATTATATCCGCTTTGTACAAACCGACGTAAATAATGTTTAGAAGAAAATGTTACTTAAACGTAACGACACATTACTGAAACCTGTTGTCTTGCACAGAGAAAGGCCTACGCCGTCTCATGGCGAGAGCATATCTTGGGCAGGCACTGACAGCCAGCCCGGGCAGGCTGCGCGAAGACCAGGCCTCGGTTTCAGAAGCATCTTGCCCAGCCTACAAGCATCAGCACCGTATTGATCCGGGAAGGTATGAGCGGTCGCTCCAACTCTCTACCTCACAACGCTAGCACACTCAGAGCAGCTAGCAGCATTCCTTACCAGCTGATCACCAACTGGTGAAGGCATTACTCGTGAGGTGATGTATATGATAGAAGCTACTAGCAGCTTAACACGTGCAACTGGAGCAGTTGACGTACCATCAGAACTTATTTCTACATGAAGAGTTATTACAAGGAAGACGTATTTTGTGATCAAAGCGAAGACAACTTGTGAGAGATTTTCTACTGATTAATGTAATGTTTGTTTACACTGGCATTGGAAGATATGAACGTTGTGAGGAGGCGGTTCATGAAGAGAATACAAGCAGTGTCCTGTGCATGGCCGAGCTGTGAATAGACAACATTGAGATATATTTGACATTTCCAGATAAGCCTTCCGTTGAGCTTGGTGCCAGTAAAAGGAGTATACTATTAAGTTTTACAGCCCAACTTCCAGACAATATAAACCCCTTCTGTTGCCTGCTGGATCCTGTCATCTAGTGTGTTTATGCCATATACTTCTTGGATAACCTCCGATCAGGTGTGGTGATTGCGTCAAATATCAAACACACCCGCCGTCTTCCTGTCTGGAGTCGGTGTTTATGAACATGATACACCGGCTGTGGGAAGCGTTGAGAGTTGTATCAAATGCATAACGCTTGCTTAATGTGTAGAATTCGAGACGTGTTAAAGGGATTTAAGCAATTAAGGAATATCATCATCCGTCTATGAAGCAAAGGCGAGTGTAATCTAACTGTTCTCCTGTAGGAGTCCGTGCGAGGCATGCTGCTGGTCTCCTCAACACCGGCCCGTCCGTCTCCGCCTGCACAGTATGACGGGTATATAGATTTCATCGGATACCGTGTAATTGGATTTAAAGAAGTATCTAAATACCATTCTCCATGATGAATGTGGGTAAGGCCATGTAATCGGATTAACCATCTCTGCTTATAAATGGTAGCTCGAGTACCTGATTGGTATAGGGACGTGACGACTAGAGCAGCAATGGTCAATGACACAGACAAGCACCTGTTCAATCCTGAACACTCAAAACCTGTCTGGAGCTTCTACGTCATCTGGGGACTCTCCATCCCGATGGTGTCAGTGACGTTCATGACGTTGATGGCTAACGGAACCGTTCTGTTGATGTTTATCTTAACACGGGTGCTGCGAAAGTGTAAAAATATATACATTGCTAGCCTTGCCATGGCGGATTTTCTAATAGGGTGTACCATGCCCATCGCGATGCTTCAAGATCTGAATCCAAACTGGGCTCTTGCGGGCTGTGCTTGTAAACTTAGCCTTACTTTTCGCCATTCCTTATTGTACGTGTCCCTACTTAGTATTCTCCTTATCAGCATTGATCGATGGTGGTCCATCCACTACCCATTCTCCTACCGAGTACGACAAAGTCGCAGACTGGCTCTTGGTATTGTCTGTCTGTGTTGGTTCCTCAGTTTGGCGATACACATTCCACCCATTGTGCTCTGGGATCTAATTGCAGACATTGACACAAATTTAACATCGTCAGCGTCCTATACTTGTGATGTACCCTACAGGAGACATTTTGCATTTACATTGACTGCCTCGGCTGTGGAGTACCTGGTCCCAGTCATGGTGTTGTGGGGACTTAATTGTAGCATTTATTTTAAAATCAGCAGGAGGAAAAGCATGAAAATTCGACGATCTCTTAGCGCATCAGACACATTCATTCTCACATATCGAAAATCTTCATCAGAATCTGACTGTACTACTAACCCTTCTGACGAAAGTGCAGATCTGTTTCCGAACAGTTTCTCTCGACTTGATATTAGACGCACGTCTCTAATCATGAATTCGACCAGGCGTCACAGCCTTGCAAACTACCTGACACCTGCCAGAGCATCCTCTGCACCTGCTCAGTACTCCAGGATGAGCGTAAAACGACGTGTGTCTTTTGACACCCTGATGGGTCAGACGGCCTACAGACCTAGTGCTATCAGAAAGTCCTCCATGTGTGGAACGGGGCTGAGGAGCAGCTCAATCATCAGGAAACAGAGTGACGACCTTGTGAGGGACCTTCTGGTGAAACAGGACAAGAAGGCAGCATGTTCCTTGGGCATGCTGGTGCTTGTGTTTACGTTGTGTTGGACCCCCTACATGGTGAGCAGTGTTGTGTATGCCAAGTGCGATACGTGTCTCGCGTCCTGGGTTCGAACCGTTGCGTTTTGGGTGCTTATGGCCAACTCGGCCATCAACCCTTTCTTATACGGACTTCTTAATGCGGAGTTCAGGAAGGTGCTCAGACAATGGTTCTTCTGCCCGAAAACGAGGAAGTACAGGCTGAAAGAAGCTTTGTTGTACTGGAACCTTCAGCAAGGTATGGACTCGGAGGGTGTGCGGGATAACGGATTCTTTCCAGCGGTGCGTGAATAGTGCAACCAAAGTCCTGACATGACATGAAAGTGCTGTGAAGTGTATGGAAGGTCACGTATACATGTATTCCAAAGAGAACAAATTTTGTCATTTAATTATGCTTACCTGGTGATAAAACTGTGATGGACGATGTCTCAAGTATGTCTCACCTCTTTCATCATGTCCCGGACTGTGATCCTGTCGTTTCTATGTGATTCTTGTTCCACACAAATCATCTCTACCTGTTGTGAGCTTACCAACACTGCCACAGCGAACACCTTACACGTTACATGTGTATTCTAGGTGTATATTGGTGACACTCGCAGTGTTTACATGGGACATTATTCCGGTGATCCGATGATAGCACTGCATACCTCACTGGTAATCCGTGTGGTCCAGAGACTCTCTATTGTGATAGCTGTTTCACCAGTACTGGTCTGTATGTCTTTCACTATACATGAGTAAATTTCTAATCATGGTATATATTATATATATGACTTGGGCTCATAGTTGTCAAAATTTTGTATGTTTTATTTTTCGAATTGACGTTGTCTATTTGTTATACATTTGCAGTAAAATTACAGTAAGATGTATATTATGCTAATTGTTATTCATATAAAAGAAAGTGCCACTGATCTTCTTTGTTCCGTCGTTGTCTATTTCCTCGTACACTCAACACGTGTATATATAAACTCCACTCATTTTCACCTTGCTATCGTTAATTCATTCAACACAAGGTAATCGAGTGAAATGTTATCGGTAATACACCGAAACTGACCCATCTGTCGTAAATGACTTAAAAAAGCAAAGTGTAAATAGAACGCTGCACACTATCGTGGCTGAATCTGTTTTCAACGAGAGCGCTTTAAGAACATGCCGTGCCTGTTTAAGCTGTTATCGTCAAATACGTTATCTCTGCACTTAAAAAAACTCGTCTCAGACCAGCATTGCAATATTCTGTCGCTGAAATATATGTACTTAAAAAAGGTTAAGCACCATCCCTGCTTTAACTTCATGTATGCCATCCCCCTGAAGATACGGGTTAGAATTGGTCTTCAGCAACCTTCGCTGGTTGTGAAAGGTGACGGAGTGATCAGCATTGATTGATGCATATCACGTATCCCAAGTACGTAGGAGTATGCTTATGATGTCAATCACTTGATTGTCTGGTTCAGAATAGGTCACATACAGACAGCAGTTATATAACTGTGATACTATGGCGTTAACAAAAGGAAGAGACTTACAAATAAATATATACCGAACCTGTATACAATTGGAAGCCTATATATGCTATTTATTAAATGACGTCAGGTTGAGGTTTATGGCACATCGATACCTGCCATTGTCTGTTTCTGGAGTTGTCTCAACCACTCAGCCACATCCCGCCATGCAACTATGGAGGAGAAACAATTCACAGCGTTGTGAAATACCTATAGCACAGGTAATTTACAAAACATGTCATGCGATGGTAAATTTCGGTTTCTGTTTTACACAAGGAGTGTGTTATGCTGAACCAAACCAAAATGTGTTACGATTTCCGTTAATGTACTTTGTACAGATATTACATTAATCTGTGTGAGAATGAAAGAGAAATCTTACCAAATGGAGGTACATAACAGAACATGGTATATTGATCCTGTTAAAGTAGGGTTAACGGCTTTGATGTGTTGCATTCCTTGTCCGGGAATCGGCGATATGAGTCTGTTCCTGAAGATGATCAGCTTCTGCATCAGGGGTGTGTGTATAGAAGCATTGTGTGAATTAAAGGTAACGAATTTTATGAAGACTGAAAATTGAAATTAGTCACCACTGTATAGACAGTATGTCGATCGTTTGATTAATCTAATGCTATACACAACAGACTGACCAAATATCCTAGGGTGAGTGTGTGTGGTTTTACGCCGCCTTCAGCAATATTTCAGGAACACCAGAAATCCATGTGGGGAATCGAACCCGGGTCTTCGGTGTGAGGAGCGAAAGCTGTAACCGCTTGGCTACCCCACAGCATCGATGTTACCCGGATGTAAGTTGAAAGCTCATTGCTGTAAGGGGTTTCACCTTCCTTTACTTTTCAAGATGATACAGTGTAACAAATGATATAAAACTCAAGCTGCACCATCTTTTGAGCATATTGCATCTGAAAATTGGAAAGTTTGTAAACCTTTCCAAACATGTATAAATGGATGCAAAAAATTTGCAAACGTAAGTCCATGATCATAAGGAGTCAGGATGAAAGCAGAGTCTACACAAACACGTACACTTCAAAGTGAACAAGAAATGAAACTGTTATTTAAACCAAATCTTCAAAGAAAAAAAATAGGCGCTTTCAATGTTTTTCGACATATCGATTGGTCTTTGTATGTCTATCCATGCAACAAAACCATTTCCGTAACCACAAGAAATCTGAACATCGCAGAGTCCAGTGTACGAATCCGACAATATCATGAGACTATGAGGCAAAATGAGGGAAGGTGTCCGGTGGTATGTAGTCAGACAGGCTGTGAGGGAAGGTGTCCGGTTGTATGTAGTGAGACAGGCTGTGAGGGATATGAAAACAAAGAGGGAAAGGTGTCCGGTGGTATGTAGTCAGACAGGCTGTGAAGGAAGGTGTCCGGTTGTATGTAGTGAGACAGGCTATGAGGGATATGAAAACAAAGTGGGGAAAGGTGTCCGGTGGTATGTAGTCAGACAGGCTGTGAGGGAAGGTGTCCGGTTGTATGTAGTCAGACAGGGCTGAGGGAAGGTGTCCCGGTTGAAAGGGAAGGGGAAAGGTGTCCGGTGGTATGTAGTCAGACAGGCTGTGAGGGAAGGTGTCCGGTTGTATGTAGTCAGACAGGCTGTGAGGGAAGGTGTCCGGTGGTATGTAGTCAGACAGGCTGTGAGGGAAGGTGTCCGGTTGTATGTAGTCAGACAGGCTGTGAGGGATGTGAAGACAAAGTGGGGAAAGGTGTCCGGTGGTATGTAGTCAGACAGGCTGTGAAGGAAGGTGTCCGGTGGTATGTAGTCAGACAGGCTGTGAGGGAAGGTGTCCGGTGGTATGTAGTCAGACAGACTGTGAGGGATGTGAAGACAAAGTGGGGGAAGGTGTCCGGTGGTATGTAGTCAGACAGGCTGTGAGGGAAGGTGTCCGGTTGTATGTAGTCAGACAGGCTGTGAGGGAAGGTGTCCGGTGGTATGAAAACAAGACAGGCTGTGGGGGGAAGGTGTCCGGTTGTATGTAGTCAGACAGGCTGTGTCAGACAGGCTGGGAAGGTGTCCGGTGGTATGTAGTCAGACAGGCTGTGAGGGGGTGTGAGGTATGTAGTCAGACAGGCTGTGAGGGGAAGGTGTCCGGTTGTATGTAGTCAGACAGGCTGTGAGGGAAGGTGTCCGGTGGTATGTAGTCAGACAGGCTGTGACAGGGGAAGGTGTCCGGTGGTATGTAGTCAGACAGACTGTGAGGGATGTGAAGACAAAGTGGGGGAAGGTGTCCGGTGGTATGTAGTCAGACAGGCTGTGAGGGAAGGTGTCCGGTTGTATGTAGTCAGACAGGCTGTGAGGGAAGGTGAGGGATATGTAGTCAGACAGGCTGTGTGGGGAAGGTGTCCGGTTGTATGTAGTCAGACAGGCTGTGAGAGGGAAGGTGTCCGGTGGTATGTAGTCAGACAGACTGTGAGGGAAGGTGTCCGGTGGTATGTAGTCAGACAGGCTGTGAGGGAAGGTGTCCGGTTGTATGTAGTCAGACAGGCTGTGAGGGAAGGTGTCCGGTGGTATGTAGTCAGACAGGCTGTGAGGGAAGGTGTCCGGTGGTATGTAGTCAGACAGGCTGTGAGGGATGTGGGGAAGGTGTCCGGTTGTATGTAGTCAGACAGGCTGTGAGGGAAGGTGTCCGGTGGTATGTAGTCAGACAGGCTGTGAGGGAAGGTGTCCGGTGGTATGTAGTCAGACAGACTGTGAGGGATGTGAAGACAAAGTGGGGAAGGTGTCCGGTGATATGTAGTCAGAGTATGTAGTCAGACAGGCTGTGAGGGAAGGTGGCATGTAGTCAGACAGGCTGTGAGGGATGTGAAGACAGACAGGCTGTGAGGGAAGGTGTCCGGTTGTATGTAGTCAGACAGGCTGTGAGGGAAGGTGTCCGGTTGTATGTAGTCAGACAGGCTGTGAGGGAAGGTGTCCGGTTGTATGTAGTCAGACAGGCTGTGAGGGAAGGTGTCCGGTTGTATGTAGTCAGACAGGCTGTGAGGGAAGGTGTCCGGTTGTTTGTAGTCAGACGGTCTGTGTGGGAAGGTGTCCGGTGGTATGTAGTCAGACAGGCTGTGAGGGATGTGGATGGGTGTACCTCTGTACAACACAGCTACATGAACAAACTAACCCCGAACAGAGTTACTACATGCAAGGAAGGACAGCTCGTTAACAAACATGACTATGATGCAACTTTTACTCTGAAAGGACTTCAGTGGCTTAACGCATGGTATCACTGTTATTGCGGGGACTTTGTTAACGCGAAACTCCAACTGATTGGACAACTGCTGCAAACGCTTATAAAGTGATATTACACCAAACACATGATTTGCTTGGCCGTGTTTGATTCGAACACCTGGTGTCAAGACTCTCACTACAAGTTTCTTGTACGCTCAATGGAATATGCCTTGTCAAATAACCGAGGCTGAATATTATCTGGAAATGACTCTATATATTAACCTTTGATAAGTTCTCCAGGATATTGACTGCACTAGTGTTTGCACTAAATGTTACGTTAGAGAATGAACATATATTTTGAAGTCACTTTTCCAATTCTGAGTGAGTGGGTGAAAGTTGATTAAAGCCGCAATCTCTTGAGAGTCCAACCCCGACCAGCTACAGTATTAGTGGGCAGGCTGTTGTGGGTATAGCGTTGGAGATTCGTAGTTCGAATCCCGGCAGTTTCATCCCAAGAGACGTTAAAACATTTGGCTTCGATTTTGATTTGGTCTGCAAGAAATATATATCCGAATTATAAATTCAGCTGCATGTTTTCAGTTGTAGCGATTACCATATTGCTTGGATGAGGTTGGCTGGCCTGAAAATTGAAATAGAAGGCTGCACAGCAACAGTCACCTCGTAGAAGTCCCAGTTGCTGTCCCAGTTGCTGCCGAACCTATTTTGTTGCATTTAGTTACTTTACTCTTAATTATATATGAACAAGCACACATATAATTAATCCATCCAACCCAGTCTTTCTACCGATCTCCAAGAATAACTCTAACCCACCTAAATCCAAATCAGATGCTGGCAGCAAATGATACTACACCCTTTCCGTGGTATTTCTACATCATAGGCCAACATCTGAATCTACTTAAATATATGTGCTGTGAATAACGGCAGATATAAAATCATCACATGCAATGCATGTTGCATATATATGTGCGCGTATGAACATTCAATGAATAGCTCTTCAAACTGCATCCATACAATTACCAACGCCTGAGCCAGATGAAAATAGAAATTATTTGTTAAGTGTGATGAAAAGGGTATTCTTAACGTTATTTGGTATTTGTTTAAAAGCGACAAAAGCTGTCTACTACCGTAAGGACTAGAGCAGATACACATTGTGGGCACTTGAAATATCTGAAACTTTATTTTTTCAAATAGTATTCTCATATTTCCCAGGCTAAGGT